CACTTCCACTATGGCTAGTGCTATAGTCTTTAGAATAGAAAAATTTGATTTTATCTTATCACTTTGTATTTTGGATAAAATATTGTTGATAACAAGTTTGGCTTGTACAAAATTGCAAACCATTTCGTAAGATATAGGGTATGCAATAAATCAAATTCAATTGGCAAAAGATTGCTTAATTAATTTGAGAAGTATAATATAAATTAATGTCTTAATTATTTTTTGAATTTTTGGATGTTTTTTCAAAGGCGCAAGATTTTATGAAGGAGAGAAATCTACCTTTTGATTTTGAAAGTTCTAGACTTCAAACCTTACAATCCAAAAAGGAGAGGTATTATATACTTTCATCATTAAATATAGAAATTTTTTAGCTTTAAAATAGGTGTGTTTTATGCTGTACTCGATTTAATTATTATGCAGTTTAACGAAAGATTTAATGATGATTCAATGAAATTTTTACATCAAACATCATTTTTTACGCCAAAGGGAATGGCAGAAAAATCAATTATTAAAGAAGATATCGAGGATATCTGTGAATTTTACAATTTAAATTCAAGTCAAATTTCGAAGAAATGTTGAAGTAAGATGGCCAAAATGGGGAATGTAATTATTACTCATGACCTAGAGGTTCAAGAATCTAAAGATTTGTCAGATTCTGAGAATTGTAAATTTATTTAATTAAAATATTTTTACCAATACATTATTTAGCTTCTTCTGATGATGATGATAATTCAGGGACTTACGATTCAGATTGGAAAAACTATTCATTTATTTTACCTTATCGTTTACTTTTAAATTTTTCTGCTTTCCCTAATTCAAGAATTTTATATAAATATTTATTAACCATTCCCACAACCTCATGTACTGCCGAAAGAGTCATGAGTAATTAATTAAAACAAGACTGCGCAGTACCATGAAAGATTCTTTTCTCAATAATTTAACCATATTATCAATGGAAAATTTTTTATTTAAACAATTAAATACTGATGGAATTATAAATTCTTTCGCTTTCTCTTCCTCTAATTTATCTAAATTATTAATTTAAAAATAATATTTATAAAGTTATATTTTTTGCATTTTACTTATATTATATATTAAAAGTTGATGCAATAAAAATTATTTTTGAAATTTATGGGTATCATAATTATCATTTTTTCGAAGGGGGGGATACTTTTCAAGGGGGTACTTTTTATGGGGGTATTCTGCTTCATTCTCTCAAAAAGTGTAGGGGCCACTGAGTAAAGCTAAACATGTAATAATGAGAGAGGTGGATGTTTAAATGATAATAATTTAGTAAAAATTTTATTATTAAAGACTATTTTTAATTTTAAATTAATATATTAAAATTACAAATTTAAGCCATATTTAATTTATTTTTATATTAGTTAATTTTGAAAAAATTTCTTTCAGAAATTTAAACAAGAAAAGGATCGTGATAGAGATCCTTTTTTAAAAAAAGAGTCGACCCTGGATTTCGATTTTCCTTTTTTGAAAACATCGGGATTCGATCTTTTTAAAAGGAGCGATTAACAAGCCTGAGTATCATGTATAAACTTTACGTATATCATATAATATGCAAAATGCTTTACTAAAATTATGAATGATATTTTGTAAATTTTAAATGATACACTTCTTAGAATCAATTTACAAAGTTAAATCTAAATATGTATTTAGTGTTGTCGGGACCTCATTTTAGAGGATTTTATGAAAACGGATGAACAATATTACATGATCCTTGAAATTTCGCATATAGATCCGAAAAGATTTTCTCTCTTTTGCCCTAATATAAAGGCTTATAAAATCAGTCAAATTATGATTCCACCCACTTAAAAAGCACCTGAATCGAGATTTTTGTTAATAACTATATGCAATATCGTTTTGACTTTTGAGAATTTATTTTTTCAAAATCATTCACATCAAATTCATCGATCATATAAAATATAATATATGTTTACATGACAATTTATATCATCAAGGTAGATCAATATGTCCTTTCTTTTCTAATGATTTGTTTATTTTTAAAAAAGTGTTCGCAAAATAGTTGTTAATCCTTTTTTAGGCCATGTCCAAAACTTGGAAAAATAAATTTAGAAAACTTTAAGAAAATAAATAAATAAGCATTTTAATCAAAAAATAAAAACATCAAAACATTTTAGGAAAATATAGTAGTTTTGATAATCTAATCAAGAAAAAAAACCGTGATTTTTAACCCGGCCCCTTCAGTTTTTTCTAAATAAAATTTTATAATTAATTTTATGTCATTTAAATTTCTTTATAAAGCCTAATGGTAGGCCGTTAAAGTTATATAATGTTAAAGATTGTTTAAATTTGAAAAAAACCGGAAATGATCATAAAATTTAATCGGCCTTTTTTCTCTCAATTTTTTTATGTATAGATATAGAATTAATTAATAAATGTGTAAATTTTCAAAGTTCAGAGGATGTGGTATTTTAATCTTTAAATTAATCAATAATCGTAATATAAGGCAAAAGCAATCAAATATATGTTTAATGTTTAATATTTAATATTTAAAAGAATAGTTATTTAAGATATGGGGAAGAAATTTTTTTTTGGGAAGAGGGGAAGGGGAGGCTTTGTTGATTTATTGATTTATTTGGTGAATTAAATTTTTCTCATCATAATAATTAATTTATGATTATAATTTTAATGGACAAAATTTAATTTTATGAAAATTTTTAATATTATATTGTAAATTGAATAATTTTCACAATATGAATATTATATAACCATGATTTAATTTTTCCTAGGCTAGGCACAAAATTTTTGTATTCCAGGAATGGGTTTGGCCTAAATAATAATTTTTTCATATCTGTCATTAGTATGCGAATTACTTCCTGTGATATTTACTTAACAAAAATTAAATAAATCTAAGGTGTTTAATATTTGATTCTCATATGTATGCTAAAGATTAGCTCTTGCCGCTAACCTTTTTGTAATGCATGGGCGAAGAAATGCCATTCCGCTTCCAAAATCAAGTTCATGTTGCTTAAATTATGAATTTTAAAAAAAAATTTATATTAAGTTACACCATCAAAAAAAACATTTTCGATAAATTTTTAGTTTTAAAACATTTTAGTTTAAAGTAAATTAAAAAAATTTGGTCTTAAATCTGCAAATTTATTAAAGTTTTATATCAATATAAGTTTCTCAAAAATATGAATAAGATTGCATAAAATGAGTCATTTCTTCAATTGACATTCTTTCCTTTAAACTTTATTAAATAAAATGATTTTTATCAGGCATTATACGACTGATTTAATCGGAAATATAAAATTATCCAATAATATATAATATAATTTCATAAAACAATCATCGGCTTAATATTATTTGGTTGGATAAAACACCCTATTCCTTTACCAATTTTTTTGCTATCTTTGCCACGATTCAGTCGTATAAATTTATTCTTGTTTTTAGGGTCCAAGAATTTGGTTAACCCGTAAATATCTTTTTTTTTTCATTTCGAAAATGCGTTGTTTCAAATTTATTTTTCTTGCTTAATAATTTCACATTCATCGTTAATATTAAGATTATCTTCTTGAAGAAGTTTTCAAAACAGCTTTCTTAATTTTTTTCCTGGATTTTCAGTTTTTTTTAAAAAAGAATTGGCCTCATTAGATGATGAAGATGTTATTGTTGTAATTAAGTTGTTTTTTTTTTAGTAGAAAGACATATTTATGTTTTTAAGTTTTTTAAAATATGTTTAACTTGATAAAATATATATGTTGAACCTGTCGTTGGCCCATGTATTTTATTTACTTGTTGAAAAAGAAATAAATATAGGAGCAATAAAAGAGATTCATTATTTTATTGTTTCAAATCTGATGATCTATCACTTTTGATTTTAATTTTATAATTGAAGAATATCGCCATTATTTAATATTGGAAGAATATTATCATTATTTATATTGGAAGAATATTGTCATTATTTATATTGGAAGAATATTGTCATTATTTTATATTGGAAAAATAAACGACCAATTAATTTATTCAAAGGATATCTCAAAAATATAGTGAAAATATAATAGGAAGGAATTTTTATGAAATAATACTTATATATATATAATGACTTTTTTAGTTATACTTGAAGCATGTAATTTTTTGCAACAGATTGCAAATTTTATCGGTAGTTGTTAATGATTTATTCTGGTTAATCATCCAAGGAAGTATACACATTTCTTAGACCTTCACAGTAGAGATCTGCAAAAGTAGGCTAGCCCGAAAGGGCTTCGGGCCGGTCGGGTGGGGTCGGGCCTTAGAATTTTTTTTAAAATATATAGAAATTTATCAATTTTATGTTGAATTTTTTATGTAATATAAAAATATTTGATTTTATTTATAATTTTTAAAAAAATATTTCGGGTTCGGGCCAGGCCGGTAAAACTTTTTTAAAATAATTTCGGTCCGGGATTGAAAAATTAGGCCCGATACAGATCACTATTTCACAGCGTATATGTTTATCCAAATTGAATAAATTGTGAAAAGTAAAAAATTGCCAAATTAACAATAGCGCCCCCTTCACTTTTCCCAATCTTTTGTTTAAATACATATAATAATAAAACATTTAAAAGTTTTAGGCTTAAATATATTGTAATTAATGATTAAATATTTATTAAGAATTTTACAATTGACTAATGATTAAAATGTCATATCTCCTAAACCTGTGTTCGCCCAACTGAGATTTTGCTTGTTTATTAATGCAATTTTAATTGTATAAACCTAGACACTATAAAGTTAGTTTTCATGATTGTACAATTTTGTTTTTGTTTATTATATTCAAAAAAATCTACTTATGTTACGTGAGCAAATAATGTGAGATTATTTGGTAGGTTAAAGCAAATGAGTTAGAAAATAAAATATATGAACTGGGTTAAATGTGCTTATATTTTATTAATATATTAGAAAAATATACTTTTTTAAAAGCGTGCAATTATTGATCGTGCATATTTATTAAAACATAGTGCGAGAAAGAAATGAATTACTGAGCATCGTACATATATCCCGCATGTTTGACTTGGAAAAATTTTCCGCCTTTGTGTAAGTGAGCCGTTATGCCTGATTCTAGAATATATTCATTTATTGGAATAGTCTGTGCGATTGCTATCCATACACCCATAAACTATATGGTATAAAGATATTTATGAATGTTATCTAAATTAGAGAAAATAAATATCTTATGTAATCTGTGAATTCTTATATTAAAATATATATTTATATCTCAAACATCGTTAAGTAATAAATAATTAATAAAAGTATATTTATGTTATATATTATGACTAAAACAGTTCATTATCATAATTTAATATATAAAATCATTAAAATATATATTTTTTTTGTGTCAATAAAAGCTCACTAGTTTTTTAAGTTACTTGAATTTAAATGTAAAATGAAATTATTCAGATATAACTATCTATATCATAATATGACGACAAAAATCTCGCATGTTCATGATTACAGTTGATGGGATTAATACCAATTTATTCTTGGTTTACAATACCAAAATAAACTAATATATAATTAAATATTGATATTGGTTTTTGTTAATGTGCTCGATATTTTGTTTATCATATATCCTAAAGACATTAACGTGAATTTTAATTGTCGATTGATTTTTTATTATTTTTTTTTATTAACATTCAATTAATACAATATAGTCTATTAACTTAAATTTAACTTTTAGATATTTTTAAATTTATTTTGATTGAATGCATCAAGTTAAATTTTTTAGTATTTAGAGAAAAAATAATTCAATATCATGAATGATCTTTAAAAAAATATAACGCATAAATTTAAAATATAATTTTTATTACTTTTTGTTTATATTATTAGTTTATTTAATTGCATATAATCCCAAATTCCAGTATAATCTTCTTTTCTTCATGGTGGTCAAGTTAACAATCATGTATTCACACATTCTCGGAATTCTCATTTCAAATTTAAAACAAATTTATTAGTGTAGCAAATTAAAACGTATCAATAAACGTGCACGTTACCATCAACGACAGCAAGAGATGCTGCTACCACAACGACAACCAGGGATGTGCTACTACAACGACAGCCATCTGCTGCTACTACAACGATAGTCATATATGCTGTTAAAACACGCTGAGAGTCAAGACTCAATTCTACAAAGATCATACGCATTTATTCCCCACGTTACAATACGCAACGTCAAGACGCAAGCCAAAACTATAAACATCATTAACCAATGACTGTCATACAGTTGGATCATTATAAGTCTGTACGGGTGTATGCAAATTTTTTTTAGATACAATGATTCAAGAAACTAGAAGAAAGGAGAGAAAAGTGACACCGGCACGCAATAACTTAATGGCATACTCATTGGTAGTAATGGAAACAACATCAAACAATTCATAGCGGATTCTAATGCCCAAAGTACAGTAAGTGACCATTGTGACGTAAACAGCCGTAACGTTATCAAACCATAACTATTATAGTCTATTAGATAAGGTTATTGAAGCTCAAACCATAATGGCAGCCAGAGCTAGGCAATGTAAACGATTCAACAACGACTTGGGATTTAAAATTCATTAGCATATTGTAACCCTTCACTAATAATAATTTCTAGAAAAACACTAAAAATAGTAGTGCTGTAAAGTAACGTCGTCACTAACTTCGTTACCTTTTTTGAAGAAAAGGAACGTCATTCGTTACCTTTCTCTAGAGGTAACGGTAACGCGTTTCTTTTATTGAGTAACGGTAACGCAAAACGTTACTCGTTAATTTAAATTTTTTCTTAAAAAATATTTAAAAAAAAACATTTTATTATACTATAAAATTACTTTTATTTATTTTTTAATATAAATAATTTAAGCCGAGTTTTTAATTCATATCAAACCACCATTCCTTCATTTTTTATTTAAATTCTCGTTAAATTTTCATTCGAATGTTAATCTAATTAATATATAATCAAAATTCAAAGTAAATGTAGCAATAATATTATTATTCTATTTTATAATTTTTTAAGGATATTATGTCTATAGTATACTTACTTCTTCAGATGAAGATGATTTAACCCTTCTCTGGCCCCAATTTGAAACATATTTTACACCAGTAAAGAAAATTAGATACAAAGTCTACACTTTGTAAATGTAAATTATGCCTCAACGCAAATATTTCAACCACAATGTCCAGCAGTTCAAACTTTAAAAAAGCATATGAAAGTAAAAAGATGAATTAATACATTATTTTTTAAAACATTACTTTAATAATAGAATATTAAATCATGGCTATTATAAAATAACCAATAAAAGAAGTATTCTTTCATAATATTTTGAAAAGTTTAATCATGAAATTAAAATATAAGCAATTAAATTATACTATAGTATAGGGCTGCGAACCAACATTAAAAACCTAGATTAACAAAATATTGGTATTGTTTTAAACAATATTTTCTATTTCTTTTTTTTAGTATGCTATTGGTTTAATTTCAAATTGTTTATAAATTTATAGAATAAAATAGTTATTTTAAAAATTTTTGTTTAATATATATATATATATATGGAATAAAACTATGAAACAATATTGTTTTAGAGTACTGAACTAGATATTTTTCTTGATCTTTTTTAAAGGATAATTCTGAAAAAGATAAGAAATTGAAAAATGATCTTTGGAAATCATAATTTTAATTTTTAATGTTTTCCTTGACAATAAGATTAGTGAGGGATTAATAGCAATTAAAATTTTTTAAAAGATATATCTTCAATTATTAAGAGGCTAAGTTATTTTTAATAAAAAATTTAGGTAATAATATTTTAATTAAAAAATTATAGACTGTACATTCCTCAAAAATGACAGAGATTAATGAACATTTGAATAGTAATAAAAAGAAATTGAAGCCAATCAACTCACACTCATTTAGATGCAGAATCCATCTACAACAATTATAAAAATAGCACAATTCGCTGTTGATGATTTAATTTTGTAATTGAAGAATTACAACCATTTACAATTGTAGAAAGCAGCATTCATTAATGTCATCAAAAAATTGCAGCCAACTAAAATATATGATGTCTAGGCCTACCCCCGTATTAAAAATTAACGAAGCGTATGACACCATGGCAAAGAAATTAGTAGATTTGTTGTGTATCCCAAAAATTGTCTGTACAACTGTAAATTCTTGGTCAGCTTATCATCGGTATATAAAATATATATTTTATTTGATAATATTGTATTTTAAAAAAGTTCTTATTTAGGGATGTGACGGTACACTTGCTACAACCAGACACTCTTGAGAGTATTTCAACCCCAAATACACACATTTGATCTAGCAAAAATAATCTTTGAAGTTTTTAGAACATATAAGATACAAAATAAAGTTGTCAAATGCATACCGAGCTAGAAATTGTATAAAAGCTTTCAAGTAAAAAAATTGTAATATATTTATTAGAGTATATGAACAAGGAGAGGAATCGGATGATTAAATAGTTCCTCTGTCATTATTTGATCTACTGAAAATCAAAATACTAATGATAATATTGTATATTTATCTAAGCATCATTCCTGTTCAGCACTTACTCTAAATCTCATTGCAAGTGTTGACATTGAAAAGGCAAAAATTACATTTTCTAATATAAGCTATTGTGGAATAAACATAGGGAATCTTCAAACAGTGCAGCCATTTTTAAGGAAAACATGGGAATATATCTGATTAAACAGTTTATAATAAGATGGAACTCTTTTAAAACTATGTGAAATTAATAAATAGTCTTATTAAGGAGAATTGCTAAAAATTTGATCTAGTGATAAAACTGAATCACAGATTTTCAGATAAGGACAAAGTCGTTCATGGTTGAATATTGTATGGTTAGTATTAATTAATAAATATGATATATATATATATATATATATGATTTTATAGGTTATGAAACCGATTGCTACGGCTCTTTCAATTTTAGAGAGAGAACAAAAAATGCATTTTGGATATCTCACTCCCACGATAACTATTATTATAATATTAAAACTTTAAAAAATGGCTTTAAATAATTTCAAGTTTTGTAAGTCGCTTATTAATTCAATCCTGGAAGGCATAAATAAAAGGTATAAAGTTCAAATATTGCTTACAATTTATATTTTGATTATCTTTTATTTTCAATAAATTCAAACACATCTATAAAAATGAATATATACTATCCGTAATTATTCACCCGCTATTTTAATTGGATTGGCCCTGGATAAAATTAGAGGTCAACAAAGGAAGAATGCTAGAACTTTGAAAAAAGATCTTGATAAAGAATGAGCAGACTTAATTCTTTTATCAACACACATACCAGAATATTTTCTGATAAAGATAAAAAAAAAATTTGATAAGGAAATGAATGAAGATCCTTGTGAAAATGATCTATTAAGCTTTCAAAATAAAGTTAATTATTTTAATATTTTTAATAAATTCCCTAATTAAAATTTTTATTTATTAAATATAATACAACTCTCCCATCTTTTGCGAATTGAACGTGTGTTTAGCACGGTGAAAGCTGTGTTAAGCACCAAGCGCTCTTGTTTGTCTGATCAAAATTTTGAAAATCAATTGTTGCTAAAATAAATAAAAAATTGTTACAAAAAGATGTTATCTTATATATAATATATTATTTTTGTATAATTTTATTTATAGTATAATTAAATATATGAAAATTGTTTTTATTAAAAGATCTTATCTTATACATTCATTTTGTATAGTTTTATAAAAAAAATATTTTTTTTTGTATAAATGTTTTAAGTAACGAGCAATGATAACGCGTTTCTTTTTTGTAGTAACGTTTACGGCACTAAAAAATAGTGATTATGAAACAATATGCTCATTTAATAATCTAAAATCTTTACTTTAAAACATTACGTCTAAATTTTCCTTAACAGAGGACATATGGTCCTCCGCAAATAAAATACCCTTTATGGGCATAATAATTTATTATATTGATAATGACTTTAAATTAAATAATCATTTATTAGATTTTATTCCTTTTAAATCAGCACATAATTCTATTAATATTTTTATTTATGTATTAAAAGTAAAATTTGAAAATGATTATGTATTACATTAGACACAAGTAATAATTTAGCATTTCTAAAAATTTTAATCAAAAGGATAATTTTAATTTAAAT